GAATTGCCTCCACGAAAATGCAGTATTTATAATTTGGTAATGTGTGCCATTGGATCATAGTTTTTCTATAGTTTCAAAAAGAATTGTGCTTGGGCACAATTAGGATAGAAGATAGATTAGTGCCATTCTGTAGAATTTTGATTGCTATTAACTTTGTTGGCGATATTATTATATACTTCACACTTTTAAATTGGGCAATTCATATTATACCCTGAGGAATGTTCAGATTTAAATAAAGGAATGTAGCCATTTATACAATTATTGTTATAAATTACTGGCTGCTGCTGAAAATTTTTTAAATCTTGTTTCTGAAGAAACAAGAGATGTGCAGGATAGTGTTGTAATTCTTTCCCTTCTTTTCTGCTGTATATATATATCGATCTCTTTCCAATATGTCTGAGAAAATCTAGAAAAAAATAATCTTTTTTGCTGAAAAGTATTTAAATATTCCTATTTGATCCCAAAGCAGTGCTGGTCATTTTACATTTTCATAGTGATGGAAAAGCATTTTGGTACAATGGCTTCTCAGTGAATTCTAGGTTAAGTGATGGCAGTAGCCTAACCATATCATTTTAATAAAAAAATCACAGCATCCACATTTGATTCAGTAGAAAGCTACATCACTTCTTGTCTCATATGACACATACATCTGTTAAAGGAGAACAGTATTTTTCTACATGATCTGTTATGGCAGTGTTTTATGTGTACATGTTTGTATGTTTCATAAGTATAGTTGTACATTTTACCCAGCCATCAACATGAAGTTTGGTGAATACTGTGTTTCATAATTCTTATAGTTTCATTAATAATGGCATCATCACAAAAAGGACTTCTGAATTCCACACATCTAACTTGATTTAGATATAAATCTAATTCTGTACATTTACTGCACAAAAAGATAATCACTTTGGATCTAAAATATGTTTTGCTTTTTCAAAAACATTCAAGAAAATTGCCATCAATCAAGAAGGTGTAGTTGGAAATAAAGTGAGTAAAATCTGAGTTTGAATACAGGCTCTAAAATATTGTTTGGGGAATCTAGTACAAACTTGTAGCAAACATGCTTGAACATTTCAGAATTTCCTCTCTCACATACAATGGCATATTATTATTATTACTACTACTACTACGAGTAGTAGTAGTAGTAAAATGTAGTAGTAGTAGTAGTAGTAGTAGTAGTAGTAGTAGTAGTAGTAGTAGTAGTATATTCACAATAATGTGAAATCACCGCTGCCAGATCTTTAGTTAGTATTGACCTTCTTACATATTGTACACATTGAGTTCTTCGCAAGAACCAAGGATACAGAATACAGAATAACAGAGATGGAACAGACCTTGAAAGTTTTCTAGTCAACTCTGCACAATACCATTCTGGATAAATGGCTATCATAGTATATGTGTGACTCAACGCAATGTGACCTTTTGTAATTGACAGATGGAAGTTCTGTCAATACAGATATTTTCTAAGTGCCTTGCAACTTTTTTGTTATGGCACCCAGTATGCCAATTAACACTGGGAACACCATGGCTTGTTTTATGCCATAGTATTTCAGTTTCATTTTTCAGTTCTTGATACTTTGTGATCTTCTTCGTTTTCTATTCTGCTATCTTCTGGTATTGCCACATCGAATCAACACAGTGAGCTCAGTGTTGCTCTTAGATCATTTCTGATCAGCTGCAGAAGATCATATCTCGTTACAAGATGTAGAGAAATATGTTTCCATTTATACTCTAAAAGTTAAGCCAATTTAGTTTCATTTCTCCTTTTCTCCAAGTAAGGTGATTGCAACTGGAAAAGATTTGCAAATTCTTGGACTCTGATTATTTATCTATCAATGTATTTAATCAGTGTTATATTTTACCCTTTTTAAAATCTGCAGTTGGCATATAATGTACTTTCTTTTTCCAATTTTCCGCTCAGCAACTTTATAATGTTATTTGGAAGAGAGAGAATGACTGGCCTCAGTTCAACTAGTGAGCTTCTGTGGCTGAAAGTATTCTTAGTCTTTCTAGATTTAGTCCAACATTTTAATCACTTCTGTAAAATGGGATTATATTTTATTCACTCTCCCAAATAGTCTTGTTCCACTAACAAATGAGGAGCAGTTATTGTGAAATTGAAGAAGCATATAAAATTATATATTTGGGGAATAGCATATACTGTATAATGGCACTGGAAAACTGGAAATTGTTAAAACAAGCATTTACCAATTAAGTTTTATTTATTATCACATAAACAAATTGAAACATGAATGTTTACAGACAAACTACATGCATAATAGCCTTATGGTTAAGTAAAGCATTGTTGTGCATCCAGATGTGGGTTTTTTTCTTCTCAGAGCATAGTGTTGCTAATGTTTCTTTATTGTTCTTATCTTTCACTAGTAACATCTGCCTCAGCATTTCCCTCCCGCATAATTTAAACATTACTTACAGTTTCTGACTAGTAATCAATGTGCCATTAGTCTTTTAGATGATATTGTTCAGGAGCAGGTGGGCACAATAATTTGATAAATTCAGGGGTAAATCCAGTCCTTTCAAGGATCAAGATAGGTGATTACTTGTTGATGTTGTTTAATTGCTTTTAAATTTGTAAACTATCAATATTTTAAGCTACCATATTCTTTCCCACAATGAAAATAGAAAAGAATTGATGATGTATCCATGTATAGCTAAAAAAAAATACATGGGGATGAGAAAGAAGAACACAAATATTGAAACTTTAAAAGAGAATCTAATACTTATGGATTTTAAAACTGTGGAAAATTATTATAATTGCTAGCTGAGGTTTTCAACAGTGCTGTATGTGGATTCAGAATAGAGTATATTCTCCTTAGTGAACAGATTCTTGCATTTTGAAGAGAAATTAATGTTCATTAAAGTTAAGTTTGGATATATTAGATAGCTTTAGATATGTCCATGTACAAGGGCAAATATATGTGAACTAAAGATTATTAAAAATAATGTATGTTAAAATATACAATGATCACATCTTCTCTGTGAAATATTGATAGTTTAAGTATGTCTTATCTTCTGCATTCCATTTTAGCTCATTTAAACAACAAATAGATTAATGTTGTTTAATAGAAGTCCTTATATTCAGTACCTTCAGAAAGTACACATCCTTGTGGTAAAGTCTACAGCTGCACAACTGGGAGGACCCTCTTTCATCAACTATAACAAGAGTGATACACAGCTCCAACATTGGGATACCTGGGTTTTCATGAATGCACCAGCATTCACTTGGCTAACCTCTGCTTACATTAGTTTTTATTCTTATTTTTAAAGAAGAAAATGAGTAAATGCATACATTTGCAAGTTCAGATTATTTTCATCTGTCATTCTTTTGATAAACTGGAAATAACACAATAGGCACATAAGGACATACAAGCTCTGAGGAAGATTTACTGTAAAAAAGTGAAAAAAATCATGAAAGATTTTTTTATATTTTTATTTACTTTATTTATTTATATCCCCCATTTTTACTATTTTTACAAATAATACAAGACAGAAAACATACTCAACATATCTTCTTCCTCTATTTTCCTCACAACAGCTCTGTGAGGTGAGTTGGACTGAGAGAAAGTTACTGACCTAAAGTCACCCAATTGGTTTTCAAGGTTAAGGTGGAATTAGAATTAGCCTTGTGCTTTAACTACTAGACCAAACCAGTTCTCTAATTCCAAGACCTGAAATGTAACCCCTCTCTAGAGTGAAATCAAGTTTAAATTCCTGTGCCCTTTTCTCCTAATAGCATGGCATAACAGTCTCAATGTGGAAGTCAATTTCCCTACATTTCCATTGTTTAGGTAACAGAGTTGTCTAATTTCAAGATATTTTCCTTTGATATTGTGAGATCTAACTAGCTGGGGTACTGCTAAGTGATTTGGGTCCTAACAATATTTTCTGTTACCATCTTTTAGAAAGATCTTAGTTGCAAACTACAGAAGTAGCCTTACTTTCTCCATCACTATCCCATATTTTGTGATTAGTTTCAGTTTTTTAGTTCTATATCTGATATTTTGTATTCACTCAAAATATGGTACTCCCATATGGTTACATAAATAATTTGGAGTATATTCCCTCCCCCACCTATATCTAACAAATTCAATTGAGAAAAAACAAAAATGTTATGTAAAAATATACAAACCTTATCTATTACCCTAGCATTTCTAATTTTCTTCCAATTCAACCATTCCTTGCTTTTCTTCCAAAACACAAAAGGATACTACAGTATAATGGTAAAACAAGAAACTATATTCATATGCAAGCATCAACAGATCTGATGTAAATATGAAAAGGACTTTATAAAAACATACTCATTTGCTGCTTTAAAAACTTGCGTGTATAGGACTCAATTAAAGAGCAGTTAAGAATAGTCTGTACCTTGAAAACAAAGCATTTTAGCATGTCAGTGAAGAAGCCTGGCTGAAAACCCAAAAAGTAGCACTATGTGATATAAATGACCGTATTGGAAATTTAAGTGCCGCAAAGATCTAACAATGCCAAATCACATATTTTAATTAACATTTAGACTCTGTTATTATCAAACAAGGATTATATATAATAATTTAGTCTAAAATAAAAAAAAATGTTTTTCATGATTTGATATACTTATACTTGTTTATTTTATGATGTGAATTCTGGCCAATAACTAATGCAGTTCTAGAATTATTAACAGATATTATATAATTAAAGAGAAAAGATGTATGCTTTGATATTATGTCTTTTTCCATATGTATTCATTCAGAAACAAGTAATCAGTTTAAAACTGTCAGTGGCTTTTATAGTTTCATTGAGAAATATGGCACTCTATTAATTTTTTTACTACTCCCCTTCTTCCATTTGCTGTGGCCAAAACAAGACCTCGCTGAAGCATGACAGATGGAAGTGATGCTTATGGATGCAACATATCTTTATAATAAAATTTATTATAAGTATTTAACTTTTGATATTTTTATACAGCTGTGCGGGTTACAAGCTTATATCTCTCTTTTCAGGTCAGGATCGTAGTGAAGCAACTTTAATAAAGAGGTTTAAAGGCGATGGTGTTCGATACAAAGCAAAACTCATTGGTATAGACGAAGTCTCCGCAGCGCGAGGTGACAAGTTATGTCAAGATTCCATGATGAAATTAAAGGTGCTGCAAAAATATTTAAATACTTATTTTCAATGCTAATTATAATGTTTATATAAAATTATATATGTAATTGTGTGTGTGTGTATGTATGTGTGTGCACGCGCACATGCGCATGTATGTGTGATTCTAATTTATATGAGTTAACTTAGAAGCCCTTGAAATAAGGATGTAAATCTTTTTGGACAAGGTCTTGAAGAGAGTGATAAACCTTTTAACTCTTTGAGGTAAAACAGTTTCTTTACAATCCAGCTTCAAATCTTGAAACAACATTGGAATGCTTTGTATGTTTAGTAAATTGGAGAAGATCTATTTGATTTGGCAGTTTCGATACCATCAAACATGGCACCCTGGTTTACAGCTAAAATTCTACCATTTAGCTGTAGGAAGATGTGATATAAATTGATTCCATGCAATTTGTGTTTTGGAGTGTACAATCTTTTATATTAGTCCATCGTGTATTTTACATTTTCTCTGAAGCTGCTAGGTGACATCCTTCTCAGTCAGGTAACACCATTCAGCTATGATACTTATATCTTGATGTAATCACAGATGGGATGATGACCCTAAATGGAGATAGATTGCTAAACAGATTATTCTTAAACTCAAAATTATGTGTGTGCACTTATTACAGCTATATCTTTCCGTGATGCTGATTAGTGTTAATAATAAACAGATGTTTAACCTGATTGATTCAAAGAGCTTGAAGTGCTCTTTGACCTATTTCTGACACTTGAGGTTCAAACCCATGTAATCTTATTGCTAAGAATGTAATCTAATATCTTCCCTTGGTTCATTGCCTATAATCATTCCTTATAGAAAAGATTAGACAACAGTACATCATGCTCACAATATGAATAACATACAAGTGGTCCTCACTTAATTATTTGTTTAACAATCCTTCAAAGTTATGAGGGTGCTGAACAAGTTATGTTATGGCACACCCCCACCCCATGGTCCTGTGATCAAAATTCAGGTGTGAGGCCTCACAAAAGACTACCAGCTGCTTCAGCTGGGCACATTTTGTCAGCAGCAGCAGCAGTCGTAAGAACATGGTGATAGTTAACTGAGGCTACGGGGGGGGGGAGGGGTAATAGCAAGTGCGGTGGTAGAGTGCAGGGCAACCAAAAGAACAGAAATGAGTGTAAATAGATGGATAGGAAAAATTGAAGCTGAGGCAAAGAGGGCAGGGCAGGAGAACTGTGAAATCATTGCCTAACAATGATGCAGTCCTGCAACAGAACTGCCATTGCTGTGTGATCACGCAATATTTTGCCTAATGACCATTTCACTTAACAATAGAAATTCTAATCTCAATTAGAATCATTCAATGATGACTACTTTTATTGTATTATTTGTAGGATATAGATGGTGTAACTGGAGTATTATTAAATATGATTATAGCATTCTTATGGCTTGATTTTGCAATATTTGTGTAAAGACTGTATCTTTGCCTGAAAATTGGAAGAATGCCATTCTTCTTCTTCTATACAGACAGAAAGGTAGCAGGAGTAAATGCCCAAGCTATAAGATTTGGCAGAAATCTGATTAGAAGGATAAGTGAGGAAGTAACGAATAAATATGGGAAGTGGTATGTAGCTTTATGCTAGGCAGTATATAGACCAGCTTATTGTTCTTTTAGCACATCATTGAGAAATACATAAATCTGAGTCAAAATGTTATTGTGAATTTGTTGATTTATAGAATTAATATGATAAGGTCAGTGACTGTGAATTGTGGAATGATGTGTGCAAATGCAGTTATTCATTGTTCAGTAAATATAATAACAGTAGTATTATGATGAAAATGAAGTTTGAGCATAGATAGAATGCTTAATAAAAAACTTCAACATTGAGCAAGAAGTATCATAAGAAAATGTTATTTTTTCATTGTTTAATATATTTATGGGTAAATGTATGAATAATGTTTGTGGAGATGTTGTGGTTTGGCACATAATATGAATGTACATATACCTGACTAAGAAGCCAGGTTAAGCAAGGATAGATACATTTTATAATGCAATGAGAAGTATGGATCTGGAAAAAAAATATGTATTTACTTAATCTATTTACATGGCTTCCCATCATGCAAATACAATTCTGGATAGCTACAACATTTAAACATTATTTGAAAGCGAAATAACAAAAGCAAATACAAACAATATATGGCAGTTGAGAACACCAAGAACCAGCTCACCTAGCCTCATCTAATTTCCCAACCCCTATAATAAGGAAAATAGTCAGGTCTTAATAGCTTTCTGAAAGGCTCCAAGCTAACCTAATGTTAGGCAATGACTAATGTGGGGTGACATGGCATTCCAGAAGGCAAGCACTATGACAGAAAAGAGTTATACAAGATAGATATTCCTTAATTGGCGGGACCCAGAACATGCCCTTCCTGCCAGATCTAACAGGATGAGTGGAGACAATGAGAGAAAAACAATCCCTCAACTATGCCATGAAGAGCTTTACAGGACACAACCAATATCTTGAATTACACCAAAAACCTATTAAGAGCCAGTGTAGGTGCAACATGGGCATATCTACTGTAGATGCAACCATAATTCTGCACCAATTGCAGCTTCTGGATGTTCTTCAATTGTATACAAGCAATGTGTCATGGAAGGTATTAATCTAGAAAATAGGAGACCGTGAGTTCTTGTTGTGCCTAAGGTATATGATTAGCTGGGTTATTTAAACCAAACTTTTCACCAGTTGTAACACTTTTAGGATTTGAGTACCACCTAGCAAGGTGTCAAAAACCTGATGACAAAAAAAAAGGAAAAAAGTGAAAAAAGTACAGGTAGTCCTCGACTTACAACAATTCGCTTAGTGACTGTTCAAAATTACAATGAAACTGAAATGACTTATGACCATTTTTCACACTTATGACTGTTGCAACATCCCTAGGGTCATGTGATTTGGATGCTTGGCAACTGATTCATATTTATGATGGTCACAGTATCCCAGGGTTATGTGATCCCCTTTTGCAACCTTTTGACAAGCAAAGTTGATGGCAGGGCTGCTGGTGGCCAAGTGGTAAGGCAGGACTTCCTTCAGACCCTCCATCCCTTTCATTCCAATCTCCCTCCCTCCTCTCTTCCTTCCTGTTTCTCTCCCTCTCTCCTTCCCTGCCTCCCTCCTTCTCATTCCCATCTCCTTCCTTCTGAAGGAAGAATTTGAATCCCCCCCCCCAATATTTTCTCTCTTCCATATATTTATCAAACAAGGAAAAGCCTCCAGAGACAGAAAAGACAAGCCGCTGAGGGAGCTAGCTTTAAAAGGCGCATTCCCCTTTAAGAATTAGCTACTGGCTAGAAAGGAAAGTTAAGGAGCTGGCAGCCAGCCCTTAAGAAAAAACAAACAAACAAACAAATGTAGCAAGTACTGGCTGTCTGCTAAGGCAGCCTCCCCTAATGGCTCCATTCATAAGTAAAGGAATTTTGAAGTATTTTTTGTCCTGAATATAAGACCATTTTTTCCCCATTGGACAGCTACTTGTCTAGAATGGTATAGAGTCTCCTGTTTGAGCAGGGGGGTTAGACTAGAAGACCTCCAAGGTCCCTCCAACTCTGTTATTCTGTAGTTCTGTAGGCCTGACACCAACATTTTGTGTCACATTTTAGCCAACTGGATTAATTTGAGAAGCTCACAGGCTTGAATTAGAAGTCAACAGTTCCTTCCATTGTGCTTCTGAAGTAATCAGCATTTATGGCATGCTGCCGATGATTCAGGAAGTAGTAAACAGCCATCAATATTAGTAGCTATTGAAGACTGATTCTCCAATACTTTTTTCAAAAGCATTCAAATTGGCTGCTATTACTGCAGCAGCTGGCTGTGAATTCCCTAGTTTAACTGTGTTGCTGTGAGAAAGTATTTCCTTATGTGAAATGACCTTGAATTGAAACCCTGTAAAAGCAGGAGAGAACTATACTATGTCTTCATATAAATGTGAATCAAAATGTTATAAATCATATAAATGTAATAGATTTAGTGGGCCATTCTGTTCCAAAGATTTTTTAAAAAGGATGAGGAGAATATGCTGTAAGGAATATACATTTTGTTGTTGCTTAAGGTAACTTATGAATGACTGGCTCTCCCAGAGATACATACGGAGCTAAGTCAGTGAGTAAGCAGTAATATACTAGGCAATTAAAGAGCTTACTTTAAATGAAGGGCTGAGATTAATAATTGGAAAGCACATGCACCGTAGCCTGACAAAGTTGCTTATCTCAGTGGATAAAATGAAATGTTGATGAATTATAATAAAGCACACCAAATATGGACCCTGTGCTTTTCATATTCATATTACAAAGAATTACTGCAAAGAAAAATTACTCCAAGAATCTGTTTCCATGGTACCAATGTAATAAGAAATACCCATACAAAGACTTGAAGTATTGAATCTAATTTGAAAAACATAAATAATAAGAGCCCAATTGGAAGAAAAATATGCTAACAGTTCACTATATATTCCCATATTTTATAGTAGAAACCTACAATTGTCTTGCCCTTTTCAAGCCTGTCCTTATTCGTGCCTATTCTACTCCTTCTGTCAGATTTCATAGCTATTTACTTTTCTACTTCAATTTTGCTATCCACTTAGATTTGTCTACTTTCCATATTTACTTTCTATTTATCATTCTTTCCTATAGCTATTCTACCATAAGCTTGTGTTAGGTTCAGTTCGCAGTGTTTCTCAACCTTGACAATTTTAAGGCATGTGGACTTCAACTTCCAGAATTCCACAGCCAGCATTGCTGGCTGTGCAATTCTGGGAGTTGAAGTCCACTTGCCTTAAAATTGTCAAGGTTGAGAAACACTGATTTTTAGAGCCCATTTGTCAAGCATCATAAGCCACAAACATTTGGTTAAGAATTATTGCCCAGTCCATCAACAAATTGTCAGGATCATGACCTGTATAGTAAACTAGACAACCAGTGCCACATTGCATCATCATTTCAAGAGATATTTCCGAACTCAAACAGAGAAACAGAATGACCACAGGAAGGCAAAAAGGCAATGGGAGCTGGAGCAACCTCTGACTTCCTGCCAGCTTCCCCACTGAGTTTCCTTTTGGGCCTCTGGCAGAGAGATTACAAATCTTTCCTTCCTCCCTTGTGGGAAGGTGGCAGTGGGAATTAAAAATCTTCCTCCCTCCCTCCCTTTGTTGCTTCCTTTCATCAAGATCTTCTGTGACAAGAACTTCTGAACCCAGCAACAGGCAGTAGGATTGAAACAGCCACCACGTCCCCAAATTTCATTCTCTCAGGAATTGTGGGTCCAAGATTTTGGACACGTTCTTTAAGTTATCCCAGTTGAGGTACATTGGTTTAAATATTGTTGCCCTATGATACACTATTTTGCCCAGTTAAACAACAGAAGTTTTAGTAATATATAATGAATGGTTATAAAGATTGATTCTATCCATCTATGTTAGATATGAGAACTTTATGAGAAAGAATAGCGTATAAAGGGATTCCTATTGCATTCAAGTGTTTTATAGGCATGATCAATCTGGTCACTGGCATGTCTTTTTTCAGTATTGACTTCAGTTTTTTCTCCTTTCTTCTTCTTTGCCTTCTAATCCTAATTATTCATTACATCACTATCCTTAGATTTGACTTCTGGAGACTTCTGGTTGTGAGTCATAATTCATTACATATTGCTATATGGGGTGGCATGGGATGGAATGGAATGGATGTTGTCTGGTTCCCAGGATGGAGGGAGTGCATTTAAGAGTAGAAAGAGACAGCACTGTATGGGAGAAAAAAGGTCAAGATAGCTTCTCCCTTAATAGTTTCCAGAGTGTATGTTTTATGGTGTAAGGAATCTGCTTTAGTTTGGCAAGACTTCTGTCTGTAAGTGAGAAACAATAAAAGAAACTGCTTAGAAGAATCTCATTGTAACTTTCTTGGTTTGGAGCCCATCAATTTTTCCCTTTTGGTAAATACATCCCCTATCCCAAAAGGAATGTTACTCACATTGATAAAAATACTATGTATTTGCCAGTTCCAAACCTAGTCAACCTAGACTGGCCAACTTCAGTCAAAATCAACCTGAAGATTATTATATAGACTCACTGTTACGAAATCAACTACACAAACAAACATGTCTCTGTATATACAGTAATATATATTAGGGCTCAGGAAATACTTAATAATCATGCTCAACAGAACAGAAAAGCATGCACGGAACACTGCTCTTTGAAAACAAGAATGCCTTTTCCAGACTTACCTGTCTGTTTGTAAGGGAGAAAGATAGCAATACATACACACATGCAGCAGCCTTATGAGCCTGGAAAAAATTGCTTGCACTGTAGATTTGAAGTAATATGTTTCCCGCCTATTCCAATACTTTAAATGATTTCAGCAGCCTTGTTTGCTAAAACTTGTAATCCAAAAAGAGAAGAATTGGCACAAAAAGAACAATAATGCTGAATTCAATAAATAATTAATTATGGTTTAAGATTAATTGAAATAATAGTAAAATTCATGGTTGTTTACATATACCAAGGGTGTCAAACTCAATTTCACTGAGGGCCGCATCAGCATTGTGGTTGCCCTTGGGGGGCTGGGAGGGTGTGGCCAGAGTCGGTGCAGCCTACTGGGTGGGTGTGGATGGAGTGGGTGTGGCCTACTGGGTGGGCGTGGGCAGTTCTACATCATTCGCGTCAAGGGTGCCTGTGGGGGCCTGGGCATGAGTGGGACAGATCTGAGGGTCTCTGGCAGAAGGGGGTGGACTGGGGCAAGTGCCAAGATGGCCACCACAAAATTATATATTGGCTCCCAGCAGCGGGGGCCGTTCCCTCCCTGTTTCCAGAATGGCTTCGCGGGCCACATGGCACAAAGAATAAATACAGATATGTTCCATAGAACTAATTAGGTATGTTATAGAGATTAAGGAGCTGTATAGAAAAGGTTTATCATGTATTCTCATCATCTCTTAGGCATGAAAGCTGGGTGACATTGGGCCAGTCACTCTTTCTCAGCCTAGTTTACTTTACATGATTGTTTTTGTGGGAAAAAGAAGTGGTAGCATTTATGTAGGCACTTTGAGATGCATAAAATAGGATATTATGATTATTGTTGTTATTTCCTTCAATATAGAGGACCAAAAACCACGGACGGATAGCTGGATGGCTGGATGGATAAATGGAGGGTGGATGAAGAGAGAGAGAGTATAGTGTATGTTGGAGGGACAACTATTGTAAGAGAAGGAAAAAGATATGGAAAGAAAGAAGTGGATAAAGATTAGGGGAGGACAAAAGATTAGCAAAAGAAAGGGTGAAGTTGAGAAGCTTATTAAGCATTACAAAATGTGTTAAACAACTCTATCAAGTAATGACTAATCTTTGGAAATATCTGTGTTTCAGCAAATATGTCCCCAGTCTTCCTTTCTTTTAACAGCATTTTTGCTGTTGTCAGAAAATGTCAAACAACTATTTTCACATTTCACAGATTTGTATAAGTGTGTAAAGGATTTCCTCTATGAGTAGATAGGATAATCTGCTCAGAAGCAGTGTTATCCCCTAATTTAGTGAATAGTGGGATAATATTTATTACAAAAAAAGAAGCAATAGAAATTAATTATAGCTTCCTAACTTAGACCATTAATTACATAATTTTGATATGTCAAAATAATCAGAACATCCTGGATTCATATGGTATGCATTCACTCAGCTCTTTTTGCAGCTTCATTCCACTTCCATAGACTGGAAGATTTTGAAACAAACGTATACATTGAAATCAGTGTTCAGTGTGCATAATAAATATGCATATTACATAGAAGTACAATTTTATTCAGATAAATAAAATAAATTCTCCCAAATTTCTAACTTGAGGGCAATGGGAAGCTGACATTTCTTAATATGAGAAAGCTCAGAAGAAAAAAATGAAATTATTTTGATTGTGAAATGCTTATTTTCTTCCAACAGGGAATTGTTGCTGCATCTCGTTCAAAAGGCGAACATAAACAGAAAATATTTCTAACCATCTCCTTTGGAGGAATCAAAATCTTCGATGAAAAGACAGGAGTAAGTGAAATAATGTTACATTTTGCCCTAAAATATATTCAAGGAAGGCAATAATATTCCAATTAAATTATACCATGAAGTATTTCATAATTTGTACCTATGGATCAAAGTAATGATTTGAATATATAAAGTTGGAATTTATTGAATTTATTAAGATGGTGATTTATACAGAGGCACAAATTTAGCAATTCTACAGGTAATATCAGGACAGAGATCAGCTAAAAAGGTGATTCCAATAATATTCAGGATTCCTGGAGATTCATGAAAAATAAAATAAAGCAGCAGAACCTACCTATCCCTCCAAAATAAGTAGTAAAGTAATATGGAGAGTGTCAGTCATCCAGGTCATGTTCATCTCAAAGGTGCTTTTTCAAAAGGCAACTGGCCTTTTTTTGTTTCTGCTTGAAGACATTTTGCTTCACATCCAAGAAGCTTCTTCAGCTTCCTGGATGAGAAGCAAAACATCTTCAGGCAAAAACAAAGAAAAGTCCAGTTGCCTTTTGAAAAAGGACCTTTGGGATAGTAAAGTGATACATTTTCACAGGATCTGTGTCAAGGGCAAAAGTATCATGAAATACATAATTTTGGATTATTTTCCTTAATAAATGAATGATAAGTATAATGTTTTTTACAAATTTGTTTAATTGGATTCCCTTTATCCAGTTTTGTGAAAATGGATCATGTTGTAAGTTATACTTATGCATAAATATTGAAAATTCAAAACGGTTTGCAGACTTTTAAGCTCTACTATGTATTGTCTAATAAACTATTATCATCATTGACACCAAATAAAGAATAATATTATGGAAGAAACTCAAGTAATAGAACACCTACATCATATTTTTAGCTAGTCAGAAATAGACTGAGAAAATAATCTAGAGAAATTACCACCATATTAAGGCAAAGAGATGCATTTCAGACATATTTAAAACTGAGAAACTTTGATCATATAGTTTCTCAGTACAACCAATTTCCAGTGAGTGTTTAGATTTGTATCCCATAAAGAAACCAAATGGCCTGGTCTTTGCAGGGAAACAAATCATAGTCAATCTCATTTGAACACAAATGATGGAACACTTGACATTTGCAGTCCAGTTTTTTCACTTCATGGAAATACTCCAGTCCATCCTGAAAAGAGGACTCAAATTTCATATAGATGAATACTTGTTCTATTTCAGTTAATATAGCAGGTAAACCTCTTGGCATTTGTTTTATTTTAATCAATACTTTGCAAAAAGAAGCTTTTGTCATGTTCACAATCAAGATTGATTGATATTGAGTGGAATTGGAACAGTTTATCCACCCAAAAATGGAGATGAAAGTTTTTGTCAGAGTTTGTACAATTGAGTTGATATATACATATAAACTGATATATACATATACATTGAAGAGGGACTACAATACAATCATTCGTCACCCCTCTTAGGCACACAGCCAACATATTTTGCCAGCGCAAATCGATCAATTTTGTGAATGTTATTATAGCATACAGTGGCTTTTCTGATGCATAAGTAGTTTTGAGACTGGAAAGGTTTAATTCTTTCTTCCTATGGCATTTTGTGTAGAAAAAAATAAATCTTTAAAGTCTGCAATTTAAGAAAGTTTTTTGTAGCACAAATGACTTTTTCCTTGAGATGCAAATAAAGGGAAAGGAGGAATTTTTTTTGTTGGACTTGCAATAGAGAGTGGGTCAATAATTTCATTTTCCAAAACTTACAATGTCTCACTGTAGTCCTCTACTTTTGCAACAAAAAGCGTGAGAAATAATCGTGACATTCCTACCATGACTGTTGTATCATTTATCTCTTCATTTGCAGTACTGGAAAAGCCCTGGAAACTAGATATTGTGACCCTGAAAAACTAATTCCTCCTTTTAGATGTATAGAGATCACCTTTATTTATTCATAAATTACAAAAATATGTTCCAGATACGCTCAAATGGCACCTTGCTTTCACTTTTTGATTATCATGTTGCTTTGAGATTAAGTACTAAACCAGCAGACCGGTTCCATGGGAGAAAGGTTTTTTTCACTGACTGGAGGGGATGTGGTTTTGTGTGCTGCCTTACCCCTTGGATGGGGCTTTACTTGTTTGCATGGACCAGTTGCTGGCATGCCACGGACCAGTGCCAATCCATGGACTGTCAATTGGGGACCCCTGTACTAAATTATCATTACTACCAGCGATATGCTACTATGACACTCTTTTTAAGCATCTCTTTGTAAAATCATCAATCTGTCTGTCTGCCTGATTTTTTTCCATATCTATGTAACTATTCCTTTTTTCCACTGAAACCCTTAATTTTTTTTTCAGAGCATCATTGTGTTAACTGTATCCTCTTCTAAACAAAAAAAAACCCTTGCTCTTTTCAATGGCTGTGAGAGAAATGTAGAAATCCATATCTAGACATTACTACTCCTTGTTCTATTTTTGGGCTTGGGCTTTTTGTCTTGATTTTTCTGGCAAACTTTGAAACAAGTCAGTCAGTTGCTATAAGGGAAGTTTCAAAGTTGTCCCTATGCTCACTTTAAAGGGAAAAGAAAGCAATGCTGTAGCTGTTCAGTGACAGTCTTTGTAAATTACAATTTGGTAGAATTGTTCAAATCTACCTTCTGTAAAGAGAGAGAAAGCATGGAGAAATGTAGGCCAGAAGCTGGATTGAATATTAAGACTGAGAAATGTTGATGCTTTAAAGGTGCCCCTGATGTTATTTTAGGAAGCTCAGGTTAAATGACAAGGAGAGAGTAAGCAGATGGGCAAAGTATTAAGACGTTTCTTTTTCTTTCTTTGCAAAGATAAAAGCTACGCAATGTTTATGCAAAATAATCTGTTAGTTGATTTCAGCTATATATGTTAATAGCAAAAGAATTATTTCTTAAGATCTCTGTTTTGATGAATGCAGCTGTAATTAGAATTAGTTTCTGTGTTAAATGCAAATTCTCATATTAATGGAAGAAAATCAGTAAAATATAAGTATTAGCATAAGATATTTGCATTTATATTTACTGTGTTGGAAGTGTGCACTATTCTAAGTACTTGCTTGGTTTCTTCAAGGAAGATCTAGCTTGGAGACCAAGAACTATCTTCTAGTCAAGTCATAATATTACCATCACTAAAACAATTTTATATTCTATATAAACAGGTTCCTGAGGCAAAAACCACAAATAGAGCCAGAACATATGTGAAAACAGCTTTTTCTTAACTATAATTATCTTCACAATGGTTTATGCCCTCTCTTGAATTTTAATAAGGAACTCAATTAAATGTTTATATAAATTAACTATGTAACATGATGCCAAAAATAAACCAGTCTGATGGCTGTTAGAATTAGCTTTCCTAATTAACATTGTATTACTGGATAACCAAGATCATTAAAATTACAAGTAAATAATTCAGTGTCAATTACAAAGAGCTTCAGCAGTAAAACCACTATATATCCAAAATATGATGCATTATTTGTCCATATAAGTTGAAAACATTCTGCAAGGAATTAAATTTTAATTCCTGTAGTGTGCTAGATAAATGGTATTGAGCAAAATTGTCAATGTCAGATGGTCTTATCAACCAAGTTCATATTCTCAGTATAAATAGCAGAGCCCTTCAAGCATCTTGGCTGGATCTAAGGTTTTTTTTTTTTTTAAGTAGGATAGTCCCAAATTATATCAATTACTGTGGCTTTAGAAATTGTTTCCTCTGTTCATCTCCATGGCATGGAGATTTTATTATGAGTTCTGGAAGAAGGTTAGAAAGAACTAGCAGCCTAGAAAGAATTATTCATAGATTAGATGATCTAAGCCAGGCATGTCAAACTGGTGATGTCGCGCGATGTATCACAACTATTTCCCCATTGCCTGGGCGCGGTTTCAGCGTGACGCATCTGGCCCACGGGCCGGCAGTTTGACATGCCTGATCTAAGCAATAAAGTTGTTGATTTAATCCAATACATGTCATAAGGCCATCTTTTCTCATTCCAAGAAAGGAATAAATAAAAGATTATTTTTATTAAATCATTAAAATCAATGATTCTACCTTTACATACAATAGTAGTTTTCTTGTGTTGATTCTGACTTTTCCATCCTATAGAGAGAAATAAAAAATAAGTAATCTGTTAGCTGTACTTGTTTTAAAAAAATGGAGTGACAACCTTTAACTTCCTTGTTACTAAGACACTTATTCTGAGAGAATCTTGCTTTATTGTTGTGCTTGAATAGATTCTATTGCTTCTATGATCAGGCAAAAAATATTAAAAATTTTACAAGATACAATTTACCTTACAATGCTTTAGAATTTCTTATCAATTTGTCCTTGCAACAGGCCTCACATTACTGTTTACAAATGCTGGGCAGAGAAATTAATCATAATGTCAACCATAGACAGATTAAGAGGTACAGAAGTGAGCATTATATAGTTAACCAGTTTCGGATTAACTATACAATGCTCACTCTGAAAACAAACAAACTGCATTCAAATATTTGATATAAATATGTGCAAACAATTTCAGCTAATAAACATCCTTCATTCCACCCCCAAATATATTTTTGTTGAGCTAAATATGTTCATAAATGAGCAATATTTATGTTAAAATAAAAAAGAAAATATTCAGTTTGACCTTATTTATATATACATAATATGATGGCCTATTTCCAGTAAGAATGATTTTCTCCAAATGTCTATATGCAACAGATTTATTAAATTTATCTCTTTATTTCTACAAGGCTTCCTGAAAACATTCCAAACACATAAACACAGTTCTTTTCTTTTTGCAGTGATATTTAATATGTACAGTATCCTTAGCTTAACAAACAATACATATACAGTTCTATACAGCTATTTTAAAAATATTTTTAACACATCTCATTTCTTTCCTAAGAAGGAGAAGGACAAGAGGGAAATAACTCTTTTTTAGGCTGTCCTCTGTTCTCTAAAAACTGCAGTCTTTTCCAACAGCCAATTTCTAAGCAGATGGCTCTCTCAAATCTTGTTTGTTCTTGCTAGGTCTC